CCGTCGCTCTAGATACACCTGCTTTCTGACATATCTCCTTTGGTTTAAAAGCTTTGTCCTTTGAAAGGAAGGCGACATAGGCCCTCTTTTGAGGACTTAAAACACCATTGAAAACCATAGCAGCGCGATTTGAAACCGAAATATGTTAAACACCACGAACAGACAACGTCTAAAAGGCAGGATTTGATGGATATTTACTTCTATGACCTCATTCATTAGTAATTAGAACGCTTTAGCTACGTAAATCTTCAAATGTTATATATGTAATCAATCATTTTATACTGTTTGTGCTCATAAAATCGCCATACACTAAAAATACAATCCCGGACAAAACCTGTTGAGACAGTGGCATTTTTCGCGCCTAAATACTCCCAATTGTCATCTTTCTAAAAAGTCACTATTTCTGATCCTCCCCTCCCCCCACAGTTCAATGTTGTGTGTTAGACGTGATGCTAGAAGGGTGTGCATGAATGTTCAGTCCCTTCAACATTGATTTGAGGGGGAAAGGCGGAGATTTTTTAAAGAAAAACTCCGATAGGTCATCGAAATTCAATCTATTTCAAGAAATGTCTCAACAGTTTTGTCCGGGATTGTAGCTGTTCAAATTCCAGGTTCTCTTGTTTCAGATTTGATTTTTACTGTCATTTCACTGTAGGTATCTATCATTGTCTCTCGAACGACTTACTCCCTCTAGGTCATCACGAAGACTTTAATCAGGCACACAGGAATCCCGAAATTGGCTTTCTCCCCGGTTGTTTTCGCTTCAAAATGTAGTTTGAATAAACGAAATCAAATTTGTTTGTACAAATTGTTGTTACTATGACAAGATGAAGATTTCCAAGAAGAAACATGGCAAGATCTTCAGAAATCAGGTTTACACACCCATAAATTTGTATTTGAGCAAAATGTAATTAATAATATTGTGACCTTTTATCAAATATTTGTTTGAGATATGTTTTAATATGATCATTTTTATTTTTCCTGGTATCTAACAATACATTTGTAATCAGTGAGGAGTGAGCTCAAAGATAGTTGGAAGTGCAATCACTGTAAAATATCAAAGCAGACTAACATGATTGAATGTAAAACTTGTGGAGAATGGTATGACTGGTATTTAGTTCCTACTTTTTATTTAATATTCAAAAGAACATTTTTCTGTTCTTAGACATTTGACAGTGAGTGAGATCTGCTTTTTTTTTATTCACAGGGGTTGTGCAGGAATAAAGAATGAACCTGAGTCATGGCATTGTACAAGTTGTACAATCAATCCAGCTAATCGTGTTGCTGTGGGAAAATAAATATCAAGCAATTGTCACAAACCATCACATAACCTATTATGTTAATTAATGACAATGAGACTATAYCCTACTCTTGACAAAAAACTACTGTTATAGTTTTACTTCCSGTGTGTTATTTCCGGTCATATATGTATGTCATGATTGCGCRTGTCAGCCCGTGCCTCGTGCGTCGTTTTCAGTMAGCCATCTTTTCATTCATGTATACTGGGTTTAGTTAAATAAAGCTGAACTTCAAACCACAACATGGTACCAGAAGTGGTGATTCGCTAAAGATTAGGCTCACTCATCGTTTGAGTAAGGAAAACTTTGAAAAAAGTTCAAAGCAACGGCAGAGTTATACTTTACTGGACCCCTCAGCTCCAAGAGTGAGGAGGAGAAAGTAAGTTATTTGCTCATATGGTCCGGAGACGAAGGGATTGAACTTGTGTCAACTTGGTCGCTAACGACAACAAGAAAAAATTGAGCACGTACTGGAAAAAATTTGAGGAATATGTCGCTCCTAAGAGCAATTTTCGACTGGCAAGGTATAAACTACGTACTTTGAAGCAACAAGAAGACGAATCTGTCGATTCCTTCATCAAAAAGTTCAGAATTCAGTGTAGACGAGCACATAATCGATGCTCTAATATTTGGTTCATGCCGCCCACGTGTGCAACGAAATTACTTGAATACGACGCTTCCCTAACACTCAACAAAGCTACTGACATAGCTAGGACTGAAGAAGCCACCAGCTATCAGCTCCGGGATATTAGAGGAAGTGCCAACCTCACACCTGTTCATGCAATGAAACATAATCCCCAACCATCTCAGCGTAAATTACAACCACATGACAAAAAAACAGCCATGTGGAAACTGTGGAACATGCCATGATACATCTCAGAGAACTCTTTGCCTCGCGTACGGCACAAAATGTAATGAGTGTGGTCRACAAAACCACTGGAGCAAAGTATGCAGATCTAAAGGCAACAAGGACCAAGCCCCCAAAGGAAGAGCAAATAGACACAGAAGAAATAGACCAAAGAAGCAAATACATTCTCTGGATAATGACGSAGATGACAAAACAGAGGATTCAGAAGTGCCAAAACTGTATTTCAATTCATTRTTTGTGGACAGTARGTCCCGACAGAACKCACAAGCCTTTGTTACCMTACACGTCAATTCTACACATGGAGCATTGCCACTGAAATGTAAGATTGATACTGGTGCAGRTGGAAACGTGATTCCTGTCAGCGATTACAAGCTAATATACCTTGAAACACTCAGCAGCACAGATGGCAAGCCCCTCGGCTTGACCCCATCGACAACAAAGATTACGGCATATGTTGGACATGAAGTACAACAGTATGGTACCTGTATTCTCATGCTGACCCACAATGGCCAATCTACACCTCAGGATTTCCATTTTGTAAACACAACAGGTCCTACAATCCTAGGSCTAACGACATGCACCAACATGAAGCTTGTTAYTCTTAACTATAGCGTAAGTAAGGAGCCCCGCCAGTCATCTGAGACACAGCAAGAAACAGGACCTGCTGGCGACCCAGCAGCAAAGGCAGAAATACTTGAACAGCATGCTGACTGCTTTAAAGGTATCGGGTGTTTCAGCGGTGASTTCCATATCACACTGGACCCTGCAGTACCTCCTGTCATACATCCACCACGAAGAGTCCCTGAAGCATACCATGAGCCTCTGCGAGAGCAACTTGAATCTCTCCTAAAACAGCAGATAATTGCAAAAGTCGATGAACCTACAGACTGGGTCAACTCGCTGGTCTGCCAGTCTAAAGGGGACAGCTCCCTAAGACTATGTCTTGATGCCAAGTATCTCAACCGAGCAATCAAGCGCCCACACCATCRTACTCCAACCCTTGATGAAGTTCTCTCTAAGCTTAATGGATCAGAATTCTTCTCCATCGTGGATGCTCGAAGTGGCCATTGGAACATTAAGCTAGATCATGAAATCTCACTTTACACTACTTTCAATTCACCCTTCGGGCGATACAGATTCCTCTGTCTTCCATTTGGCCTCATCTGTGCTGAAGACATAATAATAATAATAATAATAATTTATTAAACTTCTATAGCGCCTTAATTATTAAGATATTCTAAAGCGCTTCACAATAATAATACACTAATATACTAATATATAAATATAATATGATTAAAATAATTAAAATAAATATCCTAAAGAAACGCTTTCCTAAAAAGGTGAGTCTTCCAAAAGAAAGTAGACGAGACCTTTGTCGACCTGCAAGGAGTCACAGGCATCACAGATGATATTATTGTCTATGGAAAAAATCGTCAGGAACATGATAACAACCTTAAGGCTATAATGGAACGTGCTCGTGAAACTGGTCTAAAATTCAATGCTGACAAGTGCAAATTTGCCAGCAAGGAACTTGTTTTTTTCTTTGGTCACACTCTCAGTGCTGACGGTCTAAAGCTCGACCCAGGCAAAATCAAAGCCATTGACAACATGGATCCTTCAGGAAGTCTAATTGACCTTCAGTCATTCCTAGGTATGACACAATACCTTAGCCGATTTATACCAAACCTTGCTTCTACATCCGCAGTCCTTTGGGACTTGACCAAGAAACCAGTCAATTCAGATGGGGACCTGAACACCAGAAAGCAGTACAAGAGATRAAGAAGCTTATCGTATCCCCAGCTTCACTCCAATATTTCAACGGAACAAAACCAGTGATTGTCCASGTAGACGCATCTCAACGTGGCCTTGGTGCTACACTTCTTCAAGAGAAAGGACCAGTCGAATACAGAAGCAAACTCCTCACAGAGACTGAAAGATACTTTAACATAGAGAGAGAAATGCTTTCAATAGTTCATGGCCTAGAGAAGTTTCACTACTATGTGTATGGACGTCACGTGGTTGTCCAAACAGACCACAAACCGCTGRAAGCAATTTTCAAAAAACATCTATCAAGTGCGCCACCCCGTATTGCCCGGATGATGATCCGAATCCAAAAATATGATGTTGAAAACCAAATATGTCCCTGGTAAGGATATACCTCTTGCTGATGCACTCTCACGACTTAACCCATGTCACGGTGATGCAATCTCCGGCCTCGATGTTTCGATACACGATCTACACCGTCACCTCAACGCTACCCCAACAAGGATAAAACAGATCCAAGAAGAAAC